TCCTAGAGTACCCTTCAACTAGTAGAATATTCTATATGCAGCTTGCAAATGCACTTCTCCGAGCTTGTACATGAATTAACTCACTACACTCACTGCATAAGTAAAGTCTTGCCTTGTATGTGACAAGTATATCAATTTCTCCAGTAGTCTCTGATGCATTTCCTTATCCACCTTGGGGTCTTCCTTTTTCAATCTTAGTTTGTGATTGGGATCCAATTGTGTATTGGTAAGTTTGCATGTCAACTTCTTAGATTCCTTCAAGAGATCTAGAATATATTTATGAGATATAAATATTCTAGACTTAGAATAGGTGACCTCTATCTCGAGGAAAAATTTTAATCTTTTAAACTCTTCAATCTCAAATTTTTTAGCTAGGCATTGCTAGAGAGTCATCTTCTCTTCTTCATTATTCTTTGTGACAATTATATCATCTACATACATTTATAGGGTTATCACTTCTCCCAAGTCCAAGTGTTTGATGGACGGGGAGTGATCTTCTTGACTCTTTCTGTAGCCCATAGATAACATTACTCTGGAAAATCTCCCAAACCATACCCAAGGGAATTGTTTAAGTTCGTATAGTGTCATTTTTAGTTTGAATATCTTTTTTTCCCCTCCTTCGGCAAACCTGAGGGAATCTCCATATAAATTTCCTCTTCCAATTCCCTATGCAAAAAGGTATTCTTCACATCAAATCGTTATAACTGCCAATTGAAATTAGCAACTAAAGATAGTAGGATACACACTGCATTCATCTTTGCAATGGGTGCAAAAGTATCTTGCTAGTCGATCCTATATATCCTTTAGCCATCAATCTTGTCTTATATCTCTCGATAGTTCCATCAAATTTATACTTGATAGTAAACACTCATCTACAAACTATTGGTCTTTTTCTCCTAGGTAGATCCACCACTTTCCTAGTCAGGTTTTTTCCAAATGTTTGCTCAACATTTATAGCATTTTTATATTCTTCACTGTCTAAAGTCTCAAATAATGTTTTGAAATGAATATAGTATTCAAATTCGTAAGAAACTTCTTATGAGCTAAAGAATAGTTTTCAAAAGACATAAAGTTGGAAATTGGATAGGGTGGATGCTTAATGCATTTTCTATCCCTTTTTCTAAGTGCAATAAGTATATCAATATAAAATGGACAATGATTCTCAATTACTTCCAGTGCCCGGCTCATATTATTAAACCTACTTTGGATCAGAGTAAAGAGTTTTCCCTTCTTAAATACACATAGGTAAAACGTGGGTCCTATGTAAGGTGAGGTTCAAGCTCATCTTATGAGGTTTGAGGTTAATACCCATTTTATAGACTATGATCTTCTAGTGAGATGATAAGCTCAAATAGTATTTGCATTGTGTTAAGGACAAGGGAGAAATGTCAAAAAACAAGTCTCCTTTATCTTACAGTATAGTCTCCCTCTTAAAATAAAGTTGGTCAAAGAAAAAGTGGTCTCAACAAAGGTAAAATCAGCTGATATATACAATTTTTTATGGTTGGGTGGTAAAACTTGTATCCTTTTTGGTTGGTAAATATCCCACAAAGACACTTGATGGCTCTAGCATTGAGCTTCTCTCTTTAAAGCTGATGTATGTGAACATAGTCAATATATCCAAAGACAACAAAGGATAAGATTATTGATGTCTCATACCTCTAAAAAAAAATGTAGCTAGAACCTCTGTAATAGCCTGGATTTTCCACAGTCTAAACTCTTGTGTTTGGTATGGTTGATTGAGCACGTATATTTATGAAGGGAGATGTAATAAAGTTAAGAACTAAGTTTCGAGTCAAACATAGCGAAAACGGTGAAATTAGGTAAAAGGAACCCCTCAGAAAGAGAACTTCCTCTCAATGAGAAAATTGAGTTTCTAGACTTGAGAACACTTTTTGAGACTAAAAAGACATCGTAGAAAGTAAGAAGGTGCTTCGGGAACATGAGGAAGTAATTAAATTACGAATCAAGAGAGAAATCTCCGAGGAAAGGGAGAAAAATTCCCTAAGTGACTTTGTGCTTGAAGCACTTCCTGAGCCCAAGATCGATCGAATTTGGGGATGAAATTGGAAGATACAATAGACGACAGGTGGGCAAAGAAATTCGTAAGAAAAGAAAGACTTATGCAGAAGAAAATTGAGTGAAAAATGCAAGGAACCAAAGCTTAGTGCAATAATTCTGAAGAGAGCTCTAATTTGACCATTTGAGCTTGATTTGTGTTCCGAGACCAAAATATTTGGAATTTAAGGTTCATATTTGGCTGAGAACTAGCCAAGACATAAAGGAAGAAATATGAAATTGGCCATAGAAGAAAATTTGGGAGAATAAACTCAAACCTGAGAGGCATGAAGATAAGGGGCAGTCTTGACCTTTTGGGCTTCTATGGCCCATAAGTTGGCCAAATGAACTCGAATTGAGCTGAAACCAAAATCAGGTGACAGCTGCCGGCTTAAGGAATCCGTGAAACACAATTTTACTCAAACAAATTTAGAATTGAGCAAGTTATGGAGTTTTGAAGTAAAGGTACTGGCATAGGCCTAACTTTGTTTGCGGCTTGGACCTTTTGGGCCTTAGATGAACATTAGATTGGCCAAATGTGGTTTTGAACCCAACTTTAGTCAGTAAATAGCTGAAACCATAACGAGCATGTGAAGGTAAAATGGGTCGAAAATGGATAAGAATCAAGGAAGTTAGGACCATTTGAAGTGGAGACTTGTGGATGGAGTGGGATTTTGGGCCTTAAGGGTTTAGGTGGACCTAAGGCGGCCCAAAACAGCTTGAATGGGCCCAAAAGTTGGTATGAAAACTCCTCAAAGAAGGATAGGGCGGTGTCTGGTGTCTAGATAAGGATAGAAGACTTTAGAATTACTTAAGGGTGTAGGAAAGTGAAAAGAGGAAAAAAAAGGGGATAAACTTGAGGAATTGAGGTGGCAACCTCACAATTTGCCACCTAAACCCCTCTTGGCCAACTATTTTGGCTTCCCTCACCTATAAATAGGGATGAGGAGACAGGAAATGCATTCTAAAGTGAAGGAGAGCAAAGCTAGGGAGAGAAAGAAGAGAGAGAGAGAGAAGAGAAAAAAGAGGGAAAAGGGTATAAACCCAAGAAAAGTGAGGGAATTTGGGAATTTTTTCTTAAGAAAACTTTGCCCAAATATTGAGAGGAAAAAAAAGGAAGGAAGAAAGAAAGGAAAAAACAAAAGAACGAAGAGAAAAGGAGAGCAAAAGCTCATGGACAACCAAGGGGAAACCCGCGAGTTTAAGGTAAGTTTTCTCCTTCATTTGAATTTTGTTTCTGTTGAAATTTTGATGATAGTTTTTGAATGATTTGAGAGGTATTTTTTAGGTAGAAATGGCTCAAAAACATCCCGAAACTCTATCGGATTTTCGAGAAAAAAAAGCTTAGAGATTAAACTGAGACTCTACCGGAGTTAAATTAACATATTCTACAATGTATGTAGTTTCGAGTTTTTTTTAAAAGGAATTAATTTACTTATGATGAAGATATTTTTTAGTGTAAAATAATGATAATTCTAAAGGGAGATGCTGCTGAAATTTTGGTAGGAAATTGAGGAAAATATAAGAGGAGACTTTGCCCTAGTGAAAAAGGAAAATTAAAGTATTTATAAGAGAAGATTGCCAAAGTGACTAGAAAAAATTGAGGAAAATATACAGGAAAACTCTGCCGCAATGGAGAGATGTTAAATTGATTGCATCAACCGAGGTAAGTAGATATTATGATACAATGGAATATGTAATTTTTGACATACTTTCAGTATATATATATATATATACACGTGGATTTGTGGTATATTATTGATAATGATTTTGAGTAAAACATGTGATGATTTTATTGAGATTGTGATAATGTGATTTTAATGATGAATTTGGTTTTGAGGGTGCATCGTCTATCATGGGAAGGGTGCTCAACTCCCACCTATAGCATGTCCGGCTGGGTGAAATGACCCTAGGCGATGAGTCGGGGAATCTACACAAGCTACAGAGTGCACCTATGCAATGAGTCGGGAGATCTATAATACCTGTGGATTGTTATTGTGATTCTGTGTGGGGCTACGTAGTGAATATAGTCGATGAGGCGGGGGATCTATAGGAGCTAGGTACCTAGCCGACGATGAGTTAGGGGTATCCACGGCCCCATCCTCCACTGTGCAATTAGCAGGGGCTATAAGGCGATTGATTGAGATTGGATCTGGGCATGTTACAGCGAGTGGATGTGGGTGACCAGACCTCCATGATAGGGATGGCACATATTGTTGATTGTTCAATACAGTGTTGTGGTTTTAATTGTAGGTTTATAGATTTGACATGTAGAAAAATATAAGATATATGATTTTGATGTGTGTGAAATCTATATATATTACATTTATTTAACTATGCCATGATATTTGCTTACCAGGATAGTATATCTCACTCTCCTATCATTTTTCAAATAGTGAGGGTTTTGCTACAAAATAGTAAGTGATACAAAAGAGAAATTGTAAAGTTAGTTTCAAGAATCGAAATTACCCTATTATGGTATTTTGTGATGTAAGAAAAGAAGAATTTCAGAATCTCGTATTTTTTATTACTTGTATAATATTTAAAAGATGTAAACGCTTCTATCATTTATGTATTAATGAAATGATGTACCTTTATCTAAATTAAGTGTTATGCTCTGGACATGTCTAGTAAGAGAGGTGGCCGCAACAACCTCTATTGGACTTCGGAAGTCTAGTAATCTAGATGGTAACCAATTAATATGATATGTGGCAGTTATCGCAGCTTCCCCCTAGTAGTATTTAGGTATGTGGTTGTGAAACAAGAATGTTCGTGCAATAGTAAACAAATGGCCGCCTTTGAGTTCTACTTTTTCCGTTTTATTATGGAATACAGACACAGGAAGACTCATGAACAATTCTTTCTTTTTGAAAGAATAAGGTTAAGGTTTGTGTAAAGTGATCTCGGGTATTACCGAAGTACAGTTATCAGTGAAAGAAACAAACTGTTGTGTCCCAGAGATGTTAAGAATACTAGAAGAAATCCAAACATCACCATGAATCAATTATAAAGGAAAATCACTTTTTTATTAATAGGAGAAAAAGTTACACATTGGTGTTTTACTAGTTCACATACATTGTAATGTAAATTTTCATTATTGTAACAAGAAAATAAAGAGGAAAAAATGACCTTAAGATGGAGAAAGAAGAGTGTTCTAGTCTCTTGTGGTACAACCATAATGTGTCTAATGTGCTAGTAGAGAAAATAGTGTTGGGTACATTAGATGTATCCAGAAAGTATAACTCGCCCCAAGTCTTAGCACGTCCAATCATAAAGACCAGGAAAAAAAATCACTTTGAAATTAAGATCATGAGATAATTTGGTTACTAATATAACATTGGTATATAGCTTAGATATGTGAAGAGCATCCTTAAGAGTGAGATAGCAATTGAGGTTTATGGGTCCAAATCCTGCTACTGTGGTTAGTGAACTATCAGCAATGACAATTTTCCTATTGCTGGGACATGAAGTATGTGTTAAACAATTTACAAGAGTTTGTCATATGGTTAGTAACTCCTGATTTCATAATCCATAACAATGCAAAGAATTTATCTGAGGCATTTGAACCACAAAAAATATGAGGAAAAAAGATACTTAGAATGTACTATGAGACCTATACCTTTAGGTTTTTTAAATCGCTGAAGTTGAGTCCGGAGGCATTTAATTTTTGCCCTGAAATCACAGGTCTCCACAGTTTTCTTCTCCTAGGCTAGATGGGCATGTCCCTAACTCTTCTTGTATCTTCAATCCTTGCTAGAGGTGGTTGGCTTTCCATGAAGCTTGTAACACTTTTCTCTTGTGTGCTTTGATTTCTTGCATAATGTACACTAGAGATTTTCCCTGTTCTTCCCGACAATAGATGAGATCTCATTGTGATTAGGTTCCTTTTCCAGGTGACGAGGTTTAGAGTCATTAGCTACTATTTCAGAGCTATCAGTGGTGAACAAGTCAAGCATAACCCTTCTTCTACTTTCCTCTGTGTTAACTAAGGATATCAACTCATTCATGGATAGCATCTCTTCCTTTCTTAAGATCTAAACTCTCACTTGATCATATTCTTAATTAAATCCTGTCATAAATTGGTATGTTCTCTCTTTCTCAACCAGTCTATTCAAGGGTACTGCATCTTTGTGGCTTTCCATAATGATACTATGATAATGGTCAAGTTCTTGCCATAAGTTTTCTAAAAAGTTGGCATATTCTGTGATTATCTTCTTGTCCTATTTAGTTGTCCACATTTTGACGATCAGGTCATATATCTAAGCTACATCTTTTACCATGGAATAGATCTCTGAAATTGAATCTCAAATCTCCTTTGTTTTAGGCAGTCACACAACTGTTTTACTAATCTCTGGTGCCATAGAGTCCTAGAGCCAATCATTGGATCCTCCTTATCTCAAGTATCAAAAGTGGGATATCTCGGCTTTGGTCTAGTGCCCAAAATATGGCTTACTTCTACTCTGCCGTAAAGGTGGTCCAGATCAATAGTGACTAACTCAAGTAATCCTTTCCATGAAGCGATATGCAGCCTGAACTGGCTTAAATGCACCATTGTTTTATGTTGAATCTCCCATTAGGAAGTTTGCGACGGTAGATTTAAGATGTAATTTCCGACATCTTTCAAAATTATTTAGCTCAATTAAGGCCAAAAATACAGTTGTGCAGGGACAGCAGCCGGATGGCTAGACAGACCACGGACAGCTCCTGGACAGCCAACTGGACAGAGATGAGCACAGCTAGAGGCGCGGCTGAAATGGTAGAGATGGTGACCTGCATGCAGACAGATGCTAGTCGGTGGTGCGGCAGATTGGGGGTTGGCAGATGCAGGGAGCAGCAGCTGACTTCTACCCAGACAGGGAAGTCCATCCAAGCTGGAGTAGCGGCTGCAGCAGCTGCTTCTGGCTGCTTGCAGGCTAGGACCGGCTATGAAGACCGGCTTGTGGTGGAGGTGGCCGGTCTTGTGGCGGCCAAGTATGAAGGCTGGCCCGCTTCAAAGTTCTTCTTTTTATTTCGCAATAAAGATCGAATAGGATTTGTAAAAAAAGTCCAAATTTTTCAACCACTTTAATCTTGTAATGGCCCAGTATGAAGTATGAATTTTAATTAAATACTAGGACCCTGTATATATAAGTTTTATGAATAATAACAGGAAACATTATTAATTACATGAGAAAGGTATATTATTAATATACTAATTTTACTACTTACTATACAAATACACTTCCCAACAGTTCTGTAATCCCAATTATTGGTGAAAAATCATAAAAACAAAACTTTAATGATATATTGAATTAATTAGAATAAAAATACTATTTTTATTGAAAATTTTTGTCCCATATAATTATATTCTCATTTTTACTTCATAGAATTGAAAAATAAGCCAAACTCAAGTATGGTGGTGCCAGGAAGTAGCATTATTGCTCTACATTATGATATAGGGACAAAAGTTATTCAATGGTGTGGCTTGTTTGATCAATTGGCTATCTATGATAATGGTGAATTTGCTTTATTTACCACACATTTATAGTAGCTGAAAGGTTTAAGTTTGACATGTCTGGAGTTCGTCCTGATGACCCTTCCAAATGATCATATAAGTGAGACTGGGCAGAGATGAAAGTTGTTAATTTAAGGAAACAATATCTTTCTGCACAGCACTTGAGTAGTTTCCTTAATATTTGTGCAGCTCCCTATTTTGACAAGTTTAAGTACAAAAAGAACATATGCAGTTCATGTATATATAGGCATACCTTAGTTATCAAAGAATCCTTCAGCTTAGAAACTATAGAGAAGTTCACACATTCAGCATTACTGCATGATTGGCACAAGGACACGTGAACAAGACAGATTCAAAGAAAAAAGATGGGACATGATAGTTCAAATCAGGATCCAAATCCAAACATTCTGAAATTCCTCACATTGGTTCTGGGAGCTCATCTTTTGACAATAACCCATCCTTAACAAGTTCTTCGAGAGAAATCAGCAGAGTGTTGCCACAATTTGCATCCTGAAAGCAGTCAATCAGCAAGGACAATTAACCGTATAACAAATTAAGCAGTGACACATCTGACTAGTTGACCAAATATGATCCTGATGTAGGATACACTACAGCAATTACACAATCACATAAAGTAATGGACAGCACTATAGTAGTACACTTTAAGGCAGAAGGAGAAGAGATTGATGGGAAGAGAGAAAGGAAAAAGATGACAAGGAGGGGGATTAAATGAAAGAAAATGTTGGAAGAAAGGAAGAGAAACCAGAACTTAAAGAAAGAAATTTTTCAATTTTATTCCAATAACAGATGTACTCATTACATCAAATTTCTTTATATAGGTAAAAAAGAGGTGCAAAAAGAGCCAATAGGA